CATGCTGGCCAGGCTGGTCTCGAACTCCTGACCTCAGGTGATCTGCCCACCTTGGCCTCCGAGTGCTGGGATTAAAGGCATGTGCCACTGTGCCCAGTCAATGTTTCTACTCTTAAACGCAAAATTAAGATGTCTTGGGGCGGGGAGGAAGCCCAGCAAGTCAAATGAGTGGATCAAAACTTCCTGTGGTGGTGGAAGTCTTCCCAGGAGATGCTCTATCTAGGATGGGGTGGAACTGTGTTCATGACAAGTCCAGTCTTTCATAGGGTCAGGAAGTTGCTGTGCTGTGGTTTCTAAAAATCTCCTCCAGAGACTGTTTCAAGGATTAATTTAGGAAATAAAAGATAAGCTTTACTCTTAGTACTGGTGATTGGTTCTATGTACTATAGGAAAATTTATGGATGATGAGAATTTGACCAAAGACAGGGAGAAGGAAAGGGAGGGAGTGGAGGAGGAAGAACAGAAGGAGAGAAAACACACAAAACGCACACACGCACGCACACACACATGCACATACACATAAGGGCGCATCCACTCTGCCTGCGGAAGTGGCATTCTACGCTGTCAGCAACACATACAGGGTGGAGATAATCAGTCAACAGATTCTGCCACAATGCAGTGATTTTTTTTTTGTTTGTTTTTAGACAGTCTTGCTCTGTCGCCAGGCTGGAGTGCAGTGGTGTAATCTTTGTTTACTGTGACCTCCACCTCCTGGGTTCAAGCAATTCTCCTGCCTCAGCCTCCTGAGTAGCTGGGACTACACGTGTGTGCCACCATGCCTGGCTAACTTTTGGTATTTTTTTTTTTAGTAGTGATGGGGTTTCACCATATTGGCCAGGATGGTCTGGATCTCCTGACCTCATGATCCTCCTGCCTCGGCCTCCCAAAGTGCTGGGATTACAGATGTGAGCCACCGTACCCGGCCAGAAGTGAATTTTTAAAAGTCCACCAGCTTCTTTTGATCTGGTTCCACCCTTACCAAGCGAAGTCCATCATGTCTATGGTATCCGGGTTGCTGTAGAAGGAGGTGCCTTCTACATCACTAGCCTTGCCTGGGGAGCCAAATCCTCCCAGTTCCCATTTCAGCTCCTCGCGCCCTCTGCGCCACCTGAGTCTCAGCATCGATCGGGTCAGGACTGTGGAGGCCGGGAAGAGAGCACACCTGTGGGAATATGAAATCCTTTCCCCTATTTTGATCCCTGGAAAGTCTACCCCTAATCAAAATTAAATGCTTTGATCCTGCAATTTCTAGTACAGTACTTGTCATTTTGTTCTAGCCCCAAATCAGTTGCTTAGGATCAGATCATCCTTGGGTGAGCTGTAAAACCTGAGTTTCTGAAACTGAAGTTTCCAAGCAAGCCTCCAGTGACCCCAGCTTCCCTGGACCCCTGCTGCTATTCTTTGATGTCTTTTTAGCTGCAACCTAAGTCATCAGGACCATTTTTTCAGCAGAAAGAAGCGTAAGGCATTTCAAGAGCCTTGAAACAGACTCTGAAGCGCAGAGCCCTCCTCCCCACCTACTCCTCTCAGAAGTCTGAAGACAGGGGAAGCTGTTTAAATCCTTGGCAAATCTTCAATAAATTACTCAGATGGCTGATTCCAACAGGCCATTATGGGCTTCTATAAGTAAGAGATCTACAATGGATTATTAGAATGAATAACCCCAACAATAGAAAGTTTCCAAATCTATTTGTTCATTTTTCTTTCTTTAGTCAGATTACACAACATAAATGTGTTAAGATTTCATTGAAACAACCTTATTTTCCAAAGCCAAGTAGTATACGGGAGGACTCCTTATGAAGAATTAGATCAGTGATGGAAAAGACCCCAGGCTGTGGGTACCTGCGCCCTTTTCTCAGCCCGGAGGAGGTACAGCTAAGCTGGCAGGCAGCAGTCCCAAAGACATTGTAGCAGCGCTGCCATTTATTCCTGTCACGGTTCAGGAAGCTTTTTATGAGAACCTTCTCCATTTGTAGAAGGTAGAGAGAAAACCGCGTGGGAAATGAGAAGAATTAAACAAAACAAACAAAGGCCCTGTACTACACATCTACAATGTGCCAGGCCCTTTTCCTGTAATCGCTGATCCTGACAAGAACCTCAAAAGGTCCATGCCATTACTCCTGTTTCACAGATAAGAACACAGAGAGATAGGGTATAGATAACCGCACGGCTCATCAAAGTCACACGACTAGAGAAACGGCGAACCAGGATTCAAACCCACGTCTGAGTGTGTCCAAAGCCCTCTCCTTCCTCTTCTCCTTCTGCTTCTTCTACCCCAAATTCTTCCCTCTCCCTTCCCACTCTCCTCTTCCTTTTTCAAACATCTTTCTATAGATGTAATTTATATACCACAGCAGTCACCATGGAAAGTGTGCAATTCAGTGACTTGTAGTGAATTTATTGCATTGTGCAACCATCACCACGGCCTAATTTCACACCACGTTCATAATCCCAATTGCTCAGGTCACGTGCAGTCAACCTGCACCCTGACCCTCCCAGCCCCAGGAAATCACTAATCTCCTGTCTCTGAAGATTTGTCCTTTCTTGGACATTTTATACAAATGGAATCACACCGTACGTAGTCTTTTGTATCTGGCTTCCTTCCCTTAGCAAATGCCTCTAAGTTTCGTCCATGTTGTAGCCTGTATCAACATTTTTCTTCCTTCTTATTGCTTCATGGAATCCCACTGTGTGGATACCACATATTGATCATCAGTTCATCCTGTGATGGACATCTGGGTTGTTAGATATCATGCAGCTGTGAATATTCATATATGAGTCTTTGTGTGGACATATGTTTTTATATCTTGAATATATGCCTAGGAGTGGAATTGCTGCGTCATATAGTAATTGTGTTTAGCTTTTGGAGAATTTTGAGAAACTGCTTTCCAAAGCGGATGTACCATTTTATATTCCCACCAGTTCCTCCACATCCTCACCAGCATTTGTCATTGTCAGTCTTTTTGATTAGTGCCATCCTAGTGGGTATGAAGTGGCATCTCACTGTGCTTTTTTTTTTTTTTTTTTNATTTTATATTTGTGTTTATATATTTATTTAATATATTTATAAATTATTTATAAATATGTAGTTATATAATATATATTTATTATATATATTTATTTTTTTTTGAGACAGAGTGTTGCTCTTTTGCCCAGGCTGGAGTGCAATGGCATGATCTTGGCTCACTGCAACCTCCTCCTCCTGGGTTCAAGTGATTCTCCTGCCTCAGCCTCCCGGGTAGCTGAGACGACAGGCTTGCACTACCACACCCAGCCGATTTTTGTATTTAGTAGAGACAGAGTTTTGCCATGTTGGCCAGGCTGGTCTCAAGCTTCTGACCTCAAGTGATCCTCCTGCCTCGGCCTTCCAAAGCGCTGGGATCACAGGCGTGAGCCACTGCGCCCCGCCTTACCCACTTTGTAAGAAAGGTAGAAAGCCTGTTCCTAATCGTGCTGATTTTGCAGATGCACCCGCACTAAGCTGGAAACGGGGATCACGGCAGGAAGCTGCACCAGCCCCATCTGGGAGCTGGGCCCTTGCACTGAGAAGATTATCAAGTTACCTGTTCCAGTACTGTGGGCATAAACCACATAGTTCTGAAGGACACTAGCTTGACTTCCGTCTCTCTCCCCAGTGACGTGAGAAGCTGGAAAGAAAATGTTCTGAAACCTGGGCGCCTGGGTTCGAGGCTCTGGCTCTGCCACCTTCACCCATTTAAGCCCCTCTTGGGGGCTTGGTTTCCTTATTTGTAAAATGGGTATAATAATAAAGTTTTCCTTACAAGGTGGCTTAGATGTGAAAAAACACAGCGATGGCCATGGATGGGCCTGACAAACGATGAAAGTGCTATAGAATGTGGGTCTCAAAATTATGCACTAGCATGTCTGTCTTGGAATCCCACAATGCAGGGGCTAAGAAAGAGACTGTCCGCCCACTGCTGCTTCCTCCTCTCCCTCCTTCCTACCTCAGGACACAAGACAGCTGCAGTCTAGCAGACAGCACCACACACTCCACACACTCCCAGTTCACTGTTCCCTTCCCAGGCAGCAGGGATGAAGGATGAAGGCAGATGCCGAGAGAAGGGCAAAGCTGTGCTTTAGCGCTTGGGGAATGGGAGGACCAGAATAGGCACTTGTTAGCAAGATCCACAGCTCTGTCTCCTAACACTGTAGACAGGGCGCTCCCTCCAGCTTTAGTGGAGGCTGCAAAGGAAAGTCCATAGAATAGGAAGAATTCTGGGAGAGAAATGTCTCTGCCAAGTGTAAACGTATGTTCACACCAAGTCATCACAGCCCCTCTGCCGTGCTTGTGAAATTTACCAAAGCAGCACAGCAAAGCTACACGTTCACCATTACAAACTTTTAAGAGCAAAAAAAAAAAAAGGTCTCTTTTTAATTAAAAAAAAACTTTAAAACTTTGTTGTGTAAGGGATTAGGATCTGTTTTAATATCTTCAAAATGGATTGTAATAAACTTTTTAGTATGGGTTTTAATATCTAAGCAAAAATAAAGCTATTTATCTCAATACATATCACAGATACATGTTTATTATACCTAAATAAAGGAAATTCTCAATCCTAGGCTGGATAAACAAGAAAGCAGTCTAAGATGTAACTTTTCTAGATTTATATCATGGAAACTGGTCATACTCCAATGACTGCAAAAGAGAAAAAGGGTAGCAACCTACAACTCTAGATCTTTCGGGATGAATGCTGCTTAGTAGAACAGAAGTGAACACTTGGGTTTCAAAGAAACATCAGAAGCACAGCTCACAGGCGATGCTTAGCTCTTGTGGGCCAGCAGTCCTGCCTCCAGGGCACCTGTCCCTCCAGTCTTTCGTCCCACCTCCTCTGCAGGTCATTCTGCCCCCCTAGTGAACTAAGGAATTCTGACTTCCAGCGTCCTTCCTTCCCAGCATCAGCCCCTCCTGCATGGCCCTCGGCCTGCCTTCCCCACTGGGCTGGGCCTCGGGAGGGAAGTGACCAGAGGCCAGGGCAGACCTTCAGTGTTACCTATTTGCCTTTCCAGGTCAGCGGCTTCATCAGGCGTGGCCCGTGGCAGGACTCCAGGGTCGCTGAAGCTGGTGCGGAGCAGGGTCCCCATCACAAAGAAGAACAGGATGCCAGCGACTGCAGGGATGGCAGGGGTGATTTTCACCGCCAGGTACGGACAGCTACCAACAGGATGGACAGGCCGGGGAGAAGGGGAAGAGAGGAAATACAATGTCAGGAATCAACAGTAAGCAGTCTTCATTTTCTAAGAAGCCAAAAGCTTATTTGGAGGACAGAAATTGATTTCCACTAAAAAATTCATCCCTGTTTATCGCTGTGAAAGATTTATGTTTGGGGAGTTCTGCCATTCTCTCTTACAGACAGCTGAACCCCCACTCCCTAGCACAACAGCCCAAGCCCTCTGCTCTCACAGGAAGATGCTGGCAGAAGAATGAAAATTAGTCTGGCTTGTATAATCAGCCTAAGACACACAGAGCTTGTATAAATATACACGTGTCCTCTGAGCTGTAAACACAGTTCATGAGTCTATGAGATACCCCCACCCTCCCCTGGAATTACATAATAGAAGAAGACACCAATTTAGAATGATCTTCATGAGAGCCGGCCTTTCCCACTTGGGTCAGACGACTCAAGGACTTTCAGCCAGACCAAATGCTGAGGACTGTACACCTACTTTCAAAGGGCAAGAAACCAATTTTCTGTGTTTTGGAGGTAATCTATTCCCAAGTGAATGAGCTATGGAAATGGACTTGCAGGCAAGTTTCTGAAGACGATTTAAGGGATTTCAGCAGCTAAAATAGAATCATCTTGGGCTTTTCCAGAGGGCATCTGAGCTACCAATGGACAAACAGGGCCCAACTCTTAATTCAATCTCTTCACTGGTGTCAGTCTTACAAGCTGACGTGAAGCAGGGGTTGTTGTGAGTCAGGGAGAGGTGCCACTGGGACAGACTAAACTCTACACAAGGCCAGCCTCGGAAGCAGGGTCTGACATTTAGCCTCTGATCTGGGTATTCCGGAGCCTGGGCGGTTCCTGCCATGGCTCCTTGATGCAGTCAGATGCCTGGGCCTAAGTGAAGGATGGGATCTGCAGGGACCACAGTCAGTCCACTGTCACCACATTAAATAACATCATGCGCATTGGGGAATGTGACGCCAAATCGTGGAATGAGAGCATCTAGCATGGAAAGCAATGCTAGATGGCCCACCTCATCAGAAGATGCTGTTCCAGGCCCTCAAGACGAAACAGAGATGGGGTAGCTGGAGAAGAAAGCATTGCAAAGCTCAGCTCTGCTCAAGACTCGGAAGCAGACAGGGATTTTGGTCATGAAGCCCTGGGAACCAGCACCCCACTGCTGTGCAGGTCTCGATGGGTGGCAAAGGGATGCTGGCACGAGTCTGAGGCTTGAGAGCCACAAGCCGTGATCCCCTTTGCTGAGACAAGGGATACAGCATTAACATGCCGGCCTTCAAGAGGCCTGCAGATGTAGACACAGCTTCCTGGGACCACTGCTGACGTTGACAACGTGTACCGTGGTTGTGCAGGAGTTTCCTAGCAGGAGGAGATGTACAGCGAAGTATTTAGAAATCAAGTGTCATGATGCGTACAGCTTACTCCCAAACAGTTCAGAAAAAACACTGTCTAGACAGAGCAAATGGGGTAAAGTGTGAGCAGTACATGAATCTGGGTGAAGGGTAAATGGACGCTCTTTGTACTACTCTTATTCTTGCTACTTTGCTGTAAGTTTGAAATTATTTAAACATAAAAAGTTAAAAAAAGAAACACGGTCTATATTGAAGGCATGAAATTACCCTGGTATGAAATAATAGACGTGTGTGTGTGTGTGTGTGTGTGTGTGTAGCACATATATATATATATATATATATATATGCTATATATATATAAACCCTGAATACATATAATTTTAGTCAAAAATAATCTACTTTAGTGGGATTTTTTTTTTTTTTTTGTTACAAAATGGTTAGGGAAAAGAGCAACTGTGTAGAAGAGAATTTTCCAGAAAAACTTAAATTCACAATTCAACAGTTTGAACAATGGCAGTGAATAAAAGAAGCCCATGTTTTCCCCCTTTTTCAAGATTAACAAATTTGAATAAGATGCCTAGAAATAAAAATTCCATGGAATATTATGCAGCCATCAAAAAAGATGAGTTTGTGTCCTTTGTAGGGACATGGATGAACCTGGAAACCATCATTCTCAGCAAACTGACACAAGAGCAGAAAATCAAACACCACATGTTCTCACTCATAGATGGATGTTGAACAATGAGAACACATGGACACAGGGAGGGGAGCACTACACACTGGGGTCTGTTGGGGGGAAATAGGGGAGGGACAGCAGGGGGAGGGGAGTTGGGAGAGATAGCATGGGGAGAAGTGCTAGATGTGGGTGATGGGGAGGAAGGCAGCAGATCACAGTGCCACGTGTGTGCCTATGCAACAATCTTGCATGTTCTTCACATGTACCCCAAAACCTAAAATACAATAAAATTAAAAAAAAAAAAAAGATGTCTGCAGAGCAAAGCCAGCTTCAGCAAGGGCCCAGCTGGACGGTGTGAACCAGACAGGCCTGGTTAGGAGACAGTGCTGCACCTCAAGTGCTGACAGCTGTGATTTGACTCTACGGAGCTTCTCCAAGGACGGCTACTTCTGAATGGCCAGAACTCTCCCGTGAAGGTGACTTAGTGGAGCTTAGGCTTTGGTGTGCTTCTCTTTTTTGTGATTTGCATTTGAACACACACTGATTTATTCGGAGCCATCCGATGGAAGGAGGAAAAGGCAAAGTCCAGTTGACACAGGGAGGCCCACTGCCTGCCAGGGTTCTCCCACTGCACAGTGGGCTGGCGCACGTGGAGGAATCAGGGCATGGATCCGAAACGCAGCTGTTTGTGTCTCCCTGGGAACCCTGCTCCTGCTCCTGTCCCCGCAGGAAATCTCAGGCTGGTCTAATCACTTCCCTGATCATACTATGAAGGTAATAGGAAATCCTCGTCACTTTAAGTAGAAAACAGCGTCATTTAAGTAAATAAAAGAGTAATAATCCCTGTGCATAATGGTAACATCTACCTTGATATGAAGTTAAGTCCTCTCCACTTCCCCAGCCCTCCAGCTGCAGTTTCTGGCCCTTCCATGGTGGAGAAGAAAGCAGGTGGAATGGAGAGGGAGGCAGGAAAGAGCCTACAGGAAGAGTTCTGCTACAACGCAACTGCGTGCCCTGGCTCCATCAGATGGTTAAAACTGACTCCGCCTAGACTCGCATTGGCGAGTGCTTTGGAAGCCCTGGGGGAACCTAGGTGCACGGCCCACCTGCATTTTTCTTCCTCCTTCCCTCTTCTTAATAAGCAACAGCCAGCCCTCCTCCCACTCAGGGCCTTCCTTCCACCCTGTTTTGCGTTCCAGTTCCTCCTCTCAGAAACCCTCTCTGTCTTCTCTCCCCTGGGGACAGCTGGAACAGTGATCTCTATTTATTTATTTATTATGATTTTTTGAGACAGGGTCTCACTCTGTTGCCCAGGCTGGAGTGCAGTGGTTGATCACGGCTCACTGCAGCTTTGAACTCCTGGGGCTCAAGAGATTCTCCCAGCCCAGCCTCCTGAATAGCTGGGACTACAGTCCTTCACTACCACGCCTGGCTAACTTTTTGTGTTTTGTAGAGACAGTGTCTCACTTTGTTGCCTAGGCTGGTCTCAAACTCCTGGACTCAAGTGATCCTCCTGCCTCAGCCTCCCAAAGTGCTGGGATTACAGGCATGAGCCACCATGCCCGGCCTAGAACCGTGATCTCATCCCTGCCTACCACGATCCTCCTCCTTCAGTCTGTCCCAACCACCACTGCCAGCTCCAATCACACGTGTCTCTGCTCAAAAGCCCTCCGTGACCCCACTGTTGCTGCCAAATGAAGCTCAACCTCCTTATCTGGTGTCCAAGTCCCCCCAGTCACCTTCTCTCCCTCCCTCTCACTGCCCCTTCCCGAATCACAGCAATGGCCACACCTGGCATCTGAGCATCTCAGGCAGGCATGGGCTTTCACCAACTGCCGTGCTGCCTGTCCAGCCCAAGTGTCTGGAACACCCACCCCTCCCATTCAGCATGTTGATGCCCCCCAGCTTTCCAGTTCCAGCTCAACACCACTTCCTGAAAAGCCTTGCTAGAGTTTCTGTGCTCACCCCTAAGCAGAGTGATCGATTCTTTCTCTGAACCCCCATGATGTTTTCCTTTGCTCCTCTCCTCGGGACATGTGGCTATTCGTGGACATGCTGCATGCACCTCACAAGATTAAAAGTCCTGGAGGGTGAGACTGGACCCTGCTCCTCTTTGTGTCCTTTGTAGCACCTTGTAGGACGCCTCGCATGGTGGAAAATTCTACCAGGTTTGATAAATATTTGTTGAGTAGCTGAATGAACAGAACCCATTTAGTGAATCCTGTAACGTCTGAAAGGGGAGGAAAGTCAAGTCACCCATACCCTCAGCAACCATGGTCCTGCTCTAGAACTTCTCAACTCTTGTCAGCTTGCTAGGTCCAGTAACTTCCTTCAGACAGGTGCTAAGGTCCAGTCTCTTCCACGAGCCTCCCTCGGCTGAGAGGAGAGGGTATTCCTGAGCTTGCTGAGCTGAGTGGGCCTCATGTTCACCTTCTGTGGGCATTTGCTGGAACCTTTAAGACTCTCCATGTGCTAAAGTTCTAGCAGATGAAGCCCCATATGTTGGTATAACTCTATACAATGAATGCTAGGTGCTCTGTGACCATCCCATTCCACCAGCCTCTGTGTGTGACAGAGGACAGTGCTGAGTTTGTCCTAGAAATCCTCAGCAACTCCCTTTTTATAAAAGCAGCAGAATTCCCAACCCTAAACAAGCAATGAGGTCAGGGCTACTGAGACACCTTCAAACTGCTGCTCAGAAAAAGCGGAGAGCATCTGTAGTCCTTGTGGTAAAGACAAAGCAATAAGCAGACCCTGCCCACGACTGTGAATGTTGATCTCCTGAAGGCGGTGAGACCAATGGGACATCTCAGTCGACCCACAGACTGGCACGGCTTCACAGCTGAAGGAAGTGCTGTGCACAGTACGGCAAATTCTTAGCCTGAGCTCAGAGGACTTGAAAATGACTCCTTCATATTTCTGAGCAACTGTGGATGGGATC